GTGCTCTTCATATCGTATTTAATCTTCTTAAACTTACCATCCTTCCTCTATCAGTTGAAAGAAAAGTTAATATTGGTGGGAAAAAAAATACTTAATATTGGTCCAAAAAACCCCAAACCAATATTGAGTGAGCTGCTGAATTTTCATTTTAGAAATGAGCTTTGAGGAACTCGGCCAGTTGCAACTCATAGGCATTTTGCAGTCATTGCTGGTGACAGAATCACAGAATATTAGGAGTTGGAAGGGATCTCAAAAGATCATCCAGTCCAACCCCCCTGCCAGAGCAGGATCACCTAGACCAGGTCACACAGGAATGCGTCCAGGTGGATTTTGAATGTCTCCAGAGAAGGAGACTGCACAACCTCTCTGGGCAGCCTGGTCCAGTGCTCTGTAACCCTCACAGTGAAGAAGTTTTTCCTCATGTTCAGATTGAACCTCCTATGCTCCAGCTTGCACCCATTGCCCCTTGTCCTGTCATTGGCTGTCACTGAGAAGAGGCTGGCTTCTTCCTCCTTTACTTGCCCTTTACAAATTTATAAACATTAATGAGGTCACCCCTCAGTCTCCTCCAAGCTAAAGAGACCCAGCTCCCTCAGCCACTCCTCATAAGGGAGATGCTCCACTCCCTTGATCATCTTTGTAGCCCAAGCCATGCCCAGCCAGCTTCTCCAGGAGGATGCTGTGGGAGACGGTGTCAAAGGCCTTACTAAAGTCCAGGTAGACAACATCCACAGCCTTCCCCTCGTCCACCAAGCAGGTGGACAGGGGACATTAACTCACGTCTCTTCAGTGAGTTTCAGGAGGTGATACTGGACTTGCTGAAATTAGCAGTGAACCTGCCATTGGCTTTAATGGGAGCAAACTCAGGTTTGGTCAAGCTGTGCCTTATGTGCGTGTGATTAGGGAAGGGGAAGAGAAACTGGGGCGATGGCCGCGTTTTTCACTTCTTTGTTTTCCAGGAGCAGGTGATGGTTAATCACAGAATCACAGAACGTTAGGGATTGGAAGGGACCTCAAAAGATCATCTAGTCCAATCCCCCTGCCGGAGCAGGAACACCTAGATGAGGTTACACAGGAAGGCATCCAGGCGGGTTTTGAATGTCTCCAGAGAAGGAGAGTCCACAACCTCTCTGGGCAGCCTGTTCCAGTGCTCTGTCACCCTCACTGAGAAGAAGTTTCTTCTCAAATTTAAGTGGAACCTCCTGTGTTCCAGCTCGTGTCCATTACCCCTTGTCCTATCATTGTTTGTCACCGAGAAGAGCCTGGCTCCATCCTCGTGACACTCACCCTTTAAATATTTATAAACATTAATGAGGTCTTCCCTCAGTCTCCTCTTCTGCAAACTAAAGAGACCCAGCTCCCTCAGCCGCTCCTCATAAGGGAGATGCTCCACTCCCTTGATCATCTTTGTAGCCCTACGCTGGACTCTCTCCAGCAGTTCCCTGTCCTTCTTGAACTGAGGGGCCCAGAACTGGACGCAATATTCCAGATGCGGTCTCACCAGGGTAGAGTACAAATAAGTGAACACCAGCTTCTGCCTGTGGGAAATTGGCCTCTGCATCCTGCAGGGCCTGCCTTGCTCTTGGGCAGACACTGCTGCCCTCCTGTGGAGAGCCCGGCCGAGGGACAGCTGCGGGGTGCCCGGGGCAGGCCCCACACGGGTGGTGGGGCTGCAAGCCACGTCGCATGATTTTGGGCCAGGGCCATCAGGATCAGGTGTTCCTGGCCAGCTCCAAAACTTTAAAAGCCAGTTTGCATTGCACTGGTCCTGCTGGAGCAGCAATTGTGCCTGTAATGCACAAAAGATCCAGACATAAGAGCCGCTGGGGCGAGCTGTCATCCTCTGCTACTTATTTGGTGCTTGCACCCAACAGGGACCACTCGCCTGGACATGCAGTGGATGGATGTTTCTTTTCAAGAGCACTCTCCATACTGAAATCACAGCCTCAGCCTTGGTTTTAATTCCATTTTTATTCTGTAAATGCTTAATATTTTGCTAAAAGATAGTATAAAAAAAATAAATTCAACCCAACTGTGTGATTGGAGTAAAGCTATATGCAGACAGCTACAAAGATTGCTAGAGAGCAGGAAAAGCAGAACATCTAATCACTGAAGAAAAGTTATAAACAGCAATAAAATTAATATCTATATTAAACTAGCAGTGCAAAGGTACAAACTGGAAGCAGCTTTACATTAAAAATACGGCTTTTTAAATACAGAAATAGCACCAATTTACAAAAGACAATCAGAAATGTAAACGTGGCAGGTAGATTCAAGTATAAGTTACACGCTCACCCTCCTCAGCAACTGTCTTGGGACAGAAAGGTTTCACAAACCCTGCGGAACATCCTGGGTACGCACTTCGCCTCAGTGCAAATACAAATTCTGCTTCTCCGAACCTACTCTGCTGGTGAGTCACTCCTAGTTTATTTTACTTTTAGCTTTCAGTGAAGGAAAGAATAGGAAAGGCAAACTCATTCCCTCTCAACAACCAACCCTTCCCCCTCGCTGGTTTAGTTCAGCAGCTCAGGCACCGTGAGTGGCATTGAGGCCTTCGCCACTGACTTCTGCAGCGGTCCCACTCCTATTTTAGTGAGCATTTTGCATTGACAGAAACAAGACTGCACATCAACCCCCCTCTTTCTCCCAAGCACAAATCTGCTTTCACAACCATGACCCATCGAACAGCTTTGATCGTGAGGGAGTCGATCCTCATTTCCAGACCTAATGTATTTACGGAAACTCAAAAATGGAAGCAGAAAGTGGAAAATGGAAGATTCCTTTTCAGTCCCTGCATTTTCAAGTATCGTTAGGTTAGTTATGGCACCGAACAACATTGCTGATGAAGCAAGGCACTTTCTGAGGTGACGCTTCAGTGGCAGAGAATAGTCACTATCAGCTCTGCTCCTCCTCTCTGCTCCCAGCCATTTCACTAAAAGGCTGCCCTGTACCAGAGGGGAAGAGAAAGACAAGGTTTGGGGAATCAGCATCCACCACGTCACTCTGAACCCCAGCAGCCTGTTTCCAGCCCCAACAGCAACAAATGCACGCTAGCAGCAGGGTAGGGGCAACATCGTGCCAATTACTCACTGCTTTTTAAAGTGAAATTAATTGAAGTGGGCATGTAAGAAGAAATAATTCAGAAACAAAAATTGTAAACTTTCACAAATGTAGTGTAATAAAAAAACCAAACCAAACCAACCTTAAAATTCAGCAGTCTGAAGATTTCTCTTTACCACCCTGAAATTTCCTATGATAATTCTACTACAGATTTTCTTTCCAGGAGGGCTAACCAGCCCTCCTTATAAGGCTGTTATTGGTCTACTCTAAGATAAGGCCACATTACTCGAACTCGCAGCTTCACTCAAATTCTTTCTTAAACTCTGTTTTCATAATACATTTCATTATAAAAATAAAAAACTCTCCTCAAATCCCCAGCCCCAAAGTCCTAGCCTCCCTTAACCAACAGAGTAGCACATCCGACAGTGCATCTACCCTTGGAAAACCGGTACCCATGAGAGAAGAGCTGATAATGCTGGCCTTATGTCTGCTAAAAATCCAGAGTAACATGATGACAACAGCAACACTTTGTGTCTTTTAAACAGGAAACTGCACAAATTTAACTGCAGATTGCTACGCCAGTGAAAACATACCCAAGCATAAGAGCACTAACTCTTAAAATTATGTCCTATATTCTTAATAGCACCATCGATTATTTAATGTGACTCTGAATGTTAACTGTTACAACTTTTCTTCCTCTTTATCTTCTCCTGAGGAATACAGATCATTTTTTCCCCACTTCCAAAATCTGTGGCTCCAGCTCTTTTTAGCTTCTTTTTACAGTTTAGACAGATACGCACCAGAAGATAAGGTCTCCCTTGTCTTCCAAGTCTGCTCAAATGCACTATTAACTAGTTATTAAATTTCTGTAAGTGAAGAGTTAGGCACTTAAGTACATACCCCTTAAGTAGACTTAAGCAAACCGCTAAATAGGCACTTAAGTAGATTCAGGTTATACTGAATCTAATCATGTGGTTAATGACTGACCAAGTGTTCCTTGGTCATAAAGTCTAGACTATATATTTAAATGGGAGATGAAATCTTAGCACAGCCCTCTCTGTGGCTTGTCACTCTCAAATTACTTTGTCAAACTAATTAAAGGAATCAGATTTTGTATTCTTTACATTTAACTTGTACATTTTGCTCAGAGTGAAAGAAAAAAAAACAACCCAAGGGCTAATACAGTTCATTAACACAATCATAAAAATGTTAACATTCACAGTTATTTTGGTCTTAATATTTTTGACATGTATACATTCAATCATATTGTGTTAAATTATTAGGTTTTTCTAACCTAAGTGCTGGGCAAATTGTACAACAACCAACTGACATTCAAGTAATCCTACCCTGAGAAAATCTGTTATTCTGAAGCTGCAAAAACCACTTTTTTGCACTAAATCCCACTCCACCGTACAAAATAAATAGCAAGAGGCTGCACTGCAGAGGCAGGATTTGACAGACTGGAACTAAGGAAGCACTTGATCTCACTACTGCAAAAGTTCATCATTTTCACCACAGATTTACTCAGGGTAAGTAGAGTACATGCAAAAAATAAAAATGCTTGCCCCAGATAAGTGCTAGATATCTCACTTAAAACCATGAATAAAGAACCCCAGGGGACTCCAACAAATCTGTTTGCATCTCCTCACAGCAATAGTTTTCCAAGTTAAAACCACAAATACAATGTGATGCCTGCAAAGCCGTGCAAAGCACAGCATCTGAATTCATATCAGGACTGAAGGAACAATTCAGGAAAAGGTTGTCAGTACCAAGGACTATTTGTGAAGAAGGTGGTTAACAGAACTGGTGGGTGAATAGGTAAGAGGGGAAGCATGCCAAAAAGGGATGACATTGTAATGCGCTCCTGTCAGGCAAGAGCTTGTCCCTGTGATGGGTACAGGGTCCTAGGACAATCTGCCCACCCTTTGCAGTGAGAGGAGTTAGTCAGGGCTGGTACTAGAGATTTCCAGTCTCCTCTGCACAGAGCTGGCGTTTCTGGTCTGGTTGACTTCATTTTTCTTCCATGCAACAGGGTCTCCAAGACTTCCAGGAGTTTTGAAAAATGCCTCATGACGCGCAGGACGAATGCTCTTGGGAGTGAGGGGGGCTGATGAAGGCTATTTGGGAAACAAAACCAAAGTGATTCAGTAGCGTTTTCTCAAAGCCTACACACAGAAGACAGCTTGTAGACATTAAGACCTGTACCCTGCTACTACAGGGAATCACAACGCACATCCTTTCAGAAGCTCCATGTGAAAAGCTACAGGCTTTGCCCCTGCTTTTTGTTCTGGAGCTGTCTGCCAGTACATCATTGCTGAAAGCCTCTATCCCATTTCGAGCTTAAATCTCTTCATGACTGATTCATACTCATTCATTCTTATGCTGACCTTGTCCTTTAGCTTAAATGGCTCTTTCCTTTCCTTGATGTTTTACTCAGTTTCATTATTTGTTAGCATCAAAACAGATCTAAAATTAGCCTCCTACATCCTGGCCGCTTCTGGTTTAAGTGCCACTCTACTGTAACCTGTAATGCTAGTATCTGTAGCCAGATTGGCTGCTGACCAGTCTCAATTACAGCCTTTTTCTAAAGCTCAAATAAGATAAACATCAAGTAACATTCATAAAGCTTCCAAAAGTTCAATCTATTTGTCACTGTATTAGACAACAGGAAAACAAATCAGATTTAAGAATGTAAGCTAAAGCAGTGCCAAAATGTCACTACTAATAGTTGCAAAGACCCAGGTAACACAGTGTGATATGACTGGTTTATGTCACTCGTACTTCAGATAAATGAATCCTCCTTCACTTCTAAATTTCTCCTTTTTTTAAACTCACAAACTCTGTTTCTGTAGTAGATTTTTGAAAGATATCTTTATAAAAAGGATCAACAAAACCCACAAGAATTGTTGTTTTCCCCCAGTTCTAATGGTGAACAGAGATCAGAATGGAGGTGAAGAGGTAACCCAGGATACTATTATCTAAGAAGTGTTGCAGCCAGTTGACTCCTGAGTTATGACAAACAATCCTCCTATCCACCTAATGTGTTTCTGTAGCATAGCACACTTACAATGATAGTGTCAAATGTGGAAAAATACCGACTTGGATTTCTGGGGAAAAAATCCGTGTAACTAATTCTTTTTTTCTCTATTCCTGTAAAGATTTTTTTTAAAAATTAAGGTTTTTATGATTTTACAATTCCGGTAAGATTTTTAAAACTAATCACTTCTCCATTCAGGGCCAGACATGCTATGCTGGGCTAATAACATGGTTCCAAGCCCTGCCACCACTACAGATGGACACAAAGTGGAAGACACCAGCTCCCAGTGTGCCAGCTCACCGCTGGCACGCTGGCACCAGCCTGCAGTTCAAGCTGCCTTCAGTCCCAGTGACCTAACACCGCTGTTTTGTCACTCCACCAGTTCTGCCTCTTACCTGCTGCAGCTTCAGAAGGGTCACTGGTTGCCCCATGCACACGGGGGAGTCCAGTTTAACAGTACCACAAGACCTTGCAAGCATGGGACTCAGGTGCAGAGCGGGGTGAGCTGGTTGCTGGGGATCCACCGAAGGGGCGGGTGAGACCTTGGGGGTGACCACTGCCGTGGTGCCTATGAAAACAGGCGTTGTTGGTGCCAGGCCAGACATACTGAAATTCATGGAGGTGGCAGCTGAGAAGGAGCCATCGGGAACTGTGGAAAGAGGACTGGTGATTGTGGGAGAGCAGACGAGAGGGAAGGAAGCCAAGGCTGTTGACGGCACCATGACACAGGGGACGCTCAGAGAAGGTAACTGGCTCGCAGCCAGGTTGATAGCACCAGGGGCTTGGTTTGCAGAGAGCAGGAAATTAAAACTGCTTAATCCTAAACAAAAGAGAAAGAGCAAGGCATTAATACAGCTGACAAATTGGAATTAAGCTATATAACTTCATCTAGAACAGGAAAGAGGGATGACAACAAAGAAAGACAGGGTTTCCAGGAAGAAAACTGTGACAGAAAGAAGAAAAAAAGAAGGAAGAAAACTGTCACAGATCGGTGACTCTTCTGTCAAGCTCCCTTTCCCTAGCTGCCTCTACCTCCCCCCCTACTGCCTGTTCACTAGATCTGCATCTATTTACTTTGTTCTTATTAAGTACTCACACTTTGCTGTTTTCTGCTTCTAACTTCAGTCACAAGCAACATCTTAGCTAAACAAACTTTTTTTTCAGTAACAGGAATCATATCTTCTGCTATATGAAAATATGCATTGCGTTTAAGAAGGAAAAATAAAAAAGGAAATCACCCACAAAGACATACCCCAAAGGCGCTAATTTTAATGGCTGAAATACTGCTTTGACACAAAGCTGCTCCAGTTCCCTGTTTGTCTGCCCTCTCACATCACCAGGATCAACAAACTGAGCATCTTCATCATATAAGTGAAATCCCATAGACCCTACTCTGTGCCACAAGTGAATCAAGTACTAAAGCAGTAGTCATAGAAATCTGCCACATGTATCTTGTTCCCACAAAAGTCTTCCACTCCACACAAATACAGGCACAAAAAGCACTGGGGACAAAATCCTCCTGTAACATTTCCAGCTGCTTCCTCTTTATCCCTACTGTGTCCTACAAGCAGGCCTGGCTATACTTCCAGTGCCTCAGTTTTTGTGGGGTCATCCCGACGATGCACATGACAAGATGGTACAAAGTTCATAGATGACTGAATTCACTCACTTAGGGGGATGCTGTTGCACTATTTTGACTACCTTACTGCCAAACCTCTGAGTTTTGGATGCCAGATAGGTGTCTTTTTTGCTGCATATAATTCAAGCATGAAAACCCCACATTATTAATCTCTATTAATGCTTGGGTATCTTGGAGAAATGCCTGTATTTTCAGAGAAGAAACAGTTCATCTGGAGTCAAGAGAATTCAGAGCTATTAAACAACTACAGAGAACTGCTGATAGTTTTTTGTGCCATATATAGATTTATTCACCTATCTGTAGGTCTCCCTATTTGCTCAGTAAACAGATGCAGAAGTTTGGGTGCCTCTAGATCACACGGCCATCCTTACCAGCAGTAGGCTGAACATAAAGATACTGTGATAGGAAAGGCTGATTGACATTTTCTTTAGAGATGTGCTCTTTTCCTGGAGAGGGTTCATCAGGGTCTTTATTCTGAGACCATTTCTCTTGCTCCTGAGAATCTAAAGGCTTAGCAGACTCCTTGTCTGCAGCCTCTGGAGCAGCAGGACCTGCAAGGCCAAGGTGAAAAGCTTCAAGATGAACAGCAGATGTACAGCCACTTCCTGGGGCAGATTCTGTCTTGGGCGACTCAGGCGGCTTCTAAGCAAAAACAAAAACAAAGAGGTCATGAAGAGTCCAGACTGAAGTAACACAGTGTGATGTCTCTCATGCGCCTTCCTCAGCTACAGAGTAAAACATACAAATGTGCAAAGGAGCAGCACAAAACTGATTAGCACATCACCAAGTTAAAAATTCTGTTTGAGGGTTTGAAGAGCTGTATTAGTGATGCCCAAGCCCTGTGCCCAGTGTTGTAGTTCACTTCTAGTATGCGGAGACACTTGATAAGAAAAAAATGAATCCTCAAGCTCAGATATTAAGGAAAAACACCTGTTTCAGATGGCTTATATTCAAACACTAATACAACTTTGAGCCCGACTCTTATTTTCAGTAGTTAAGTGAACCCTGAGATAGCTGCACTTCACTGTCACCATCATCCTTCTCTCACCAGCCTGCTGCAGGCAACACCAGGCTTGAGAGAGAGGGGGACTCAGGCTGGAGAGTAAGGGGAAACTACAAATTGCATTTGCTATAGCTCAGTGGAGTAAGCAATGCTGCTGCTGTCTGGGAAAGCCCAAGCTAACAGGGAAGATGAGGAGCAACAGTCACACTGATTTCCTCCCCTCTGGCAGGCTGTTTTGTTGAAGACAATGATCAGGACACTGATTCCAAAGAACAGATGGACATCACTTTGCCATGCAAAGCAATCACAGCCCATTTTCCCCTGGTGGTACAAAGACATCTCCCAGTTACTGCCTATACTTCCTGACACAGCCACCTTCCAGTTCTATTAACATGTGGGAGGCAGCATTTGAAACTGTAACAAGAGTGGTGCGGTGAATTTTCACTTTGGAAAACGCTGTCCTGGGCAAAAGTCTTTGCTCACTAAGAGAAAGCCTAAGTGATGATGAAATTAACTTCTTTACCTTGGGTACTACAAGTGAGAGGGGTACATCACTCTGTTCCATGTTCTGCTTTTTAGCAGCTGGCTCTTCATCATCTACAGATGCAGCGGGCAATGCGCACCTGTGGGAGCTGCGTTTCTGGCAGGCAGCTGGCGGTACAGCAGCCTGACCTTCTGCACTCCAGTTTCCCACCTCTCCTGTGGTGGGCAGGGTCTCCCTCGAGTTATTTTCCTGAAGACCGCCACACAACATAAAAAGGGATGAAGATGGGAAGCACAGGAAGGGTTGGCTGGGGAGCACAGTGTGTTTTCCGTTTTCTGTTTTGCAGGCTGCTGGCGTGGAAGGATGTGGAGCTTGGCTGCTGATGCCATTTGGCAGTGAGAGGCTTGGCACATCTGCCTGAACCACAGGGAAAACTGCCTGAGGCAAAGGGTTAACACAAAAATCAGAGTCCCCAGGAACTGGAAGGGAGAAAGCTGAGGTTATGCTTGGGTTCCTTGCTGAATTTAATATAGTTTCTGTGGCACAAGCTTTATTCCTGAAAAAAAGTAATGAAAAAAGGAAAAACATTTAGTCCAAAATTAAACCCCTATTTTATCCTTGAAAGCAAACAGGTCTAATATTATTGGACATAAATATGGAAAAACTCCCTCTCTCAAACCACTACTTTTACAGTTTACAAGGAGGGTCACTTTTTGTTATTTCTAATTACACAGGAACAGACTTGTTTTTTTGGCAGAACAATACTACTTTCAGTTGCATGTGACTAGAGTGAATCATCCACAAATTACTTCAAATGAGGATAGGTGTAGAGAAGACCCACTGATATGACAGAGAGGCTCTTCCATGGAATCACAATTTGCTCAGCCTACCTAGACAACTGGTCCAAGGATAGCAGTGGTAAAACTATAGGTGGGTATAAATCGACCATGGGAAAAAAAAAGCAGCAAGCCATGCTGAGACCTATGAGCATTAAAATAGTACTAACGAGTCTCTCTGGCAGTTTTTTATCAGTCTAATCAATGGAATTTAGCCTTGAACTACACGTGACAAGCATGAAGCTGAAATTGCACAGGAGTTAAGACCAACTTACGTAGTTTCTTCCTTTATTTTCTGCCTGCAGACAGTTGCTCGATTTATTATTGTGGAGCAATATTCATCTGAATTCACAATACAGGCTGAAAGAACAAAGGAGCATTCAATTAATAACACGTAGGTTTACCAGGCATATTTTCATACTGGCCATATAAAATAATTGATATAATTTTTCTATCCTGGCACATTTTTATAACATCCACTAATCACCCAGAACCAGAACCTGCAAGACACTCAGAACTCTCAGTCCCACTGGAGAGGTGCTTGACATCATTTCCTATGAGAGGGAACTGTGAAAAGCCCTGTAATTGCTTTTACCTTTTTTTAACAGCTATCCATTAGATTGTTACAGTAAATTCCACTATATTAGGAACCATAAAACAAAGCAAGCTTTTGTGACTAAAGAGTCTTTATCTATACCAAATAGAAAAAACAGAAGAAACTGTAGTATAATTGCAGTTAGTGGAGAACAGAAACATTCATTGGAAAACAAACTGCAGATTCAAGGCAGCATGGCCCAGATTAATCTCCTCTAACTTCAGGCACTTGACTGGAGGGTCCAAAACAGAAGTCTCATCACATGGACAGTAGAAATATAGGTACCTCCCAAAGGTAATTCACATGTTTACTTAGGCTGATTCAGCCAATCAAGTGCCTTAAATTGATGGGCCCACATTTGGGCAGATCCAGTGGGATACAAAAGAAATAGGTACCCCCCAAAGGTAATTCACATGTTTACATGTTACTTGATTCAGCCAATCAAGTGCCTTAAATTGATGGGCCCACATTTGGGCAGATCCAGTGGGATACAAAAGAACATGTTTCGTTAGTAGTTACCTTGTCTCTCTTGACGTGGGCTGTTGGGCTCAGAACTGACCTTCCTTCTGGTCCCTTCACAAGGCTGTGTGCTGTTAAATGACGCGTGACGTGTAAACCTTTGCTTTCCAGTAGCACAGGTCTGATACGGGGCACAGGCTCCTCTCTGTGTCCCTGGCAGTGGATCAGATGTTGGGCTGTGCCCTCTCAGCTTATCTGTAGGAACATAGTTTTGTACAGTCCTCCAGGGAACACAGGTCATGGTTTAAGTTTCTGCCATGTTACTGAACATGGCCATAAGAGAAGAGGTAACCTCCCTACCATCTCAAACCCCACAATACTGAAGCAGACTTAAGCTCAGTAAGCACCAGTAAAGAAGATAAGGGCTTCCCTCCTTTTTATTACATGGCAGCTGCACAGTAGCTACACTCCAGTGTGCGTACCCAGAAGAAGAAAGGGAACTTGGCTGGCGTTAACACTATCCTTCACTTTTACTTGGTCCTGGCACTGCGCTGACCTAAATACATTACCAAAGGGCCTCCCTTTGCTCTGGCTTTCAGCCAGGAATCAGCATCTTCAGAGATGCTCTGGCCCACCACCTCCTTTCCAGACAAACCTTTTGTACAAGGGGACGCATGCAGGAAACAGCCCTGCTCTACCTTGGTAAGTCCCCTTACAAAGAAAATTATTCACTGTCTCATTATAACAGAATTGGAGATTTTGCAATCCAGAAAAGCTGTGGACCCAGATTTGGATATAGACATTATCTGCCACCTCTCTACAATTCATACAGTTATGTAAGTCAGTGCAAAAATAAGACAAAATATCCTTCAACATCCCTCCACAGCTCCAGCCCTTGAGCATAAAGTCCAACTTGGTAAATGTTGAGCTGGCCAGCATTAAATAATCACAAGGTGGACAGCGAATGCTGAGCCAATCTTCACACGCAGAAAACAACCTTTCAGCACTTGAGAAGGGTTTGTTGAAACAAAAAGAAAAGAGATGCGAGCTACGCAAGTTACCGTTTTTTCCAGGGAATTCCATAGGCCCAATCCACTTGAAGGCAGGTTTGCGTCCTCGTTCCTCTGTGACATGAACTTTCTTGATCAAGCCTAGGCTGGTGAGAACATTGGCGATATCATACAGTCTTCGTACCTTTGCTACCAAGAAAGAGCAGAAATAGTCAAGAAAGGGATACCTGTAATGCATACAGTACATATTTACGTGGCAATTTCATTCCAGAATATCACCGCAGTTTTCATAGATAAGGTGGGTAAAATCAAATTGGGGTGGACTTAAGCCACCTTCTGTGAAGCCTGCCATGCCAGCTCCTACCTGCTTGTCCCTGCTTCTTCATACTTTAGCTGCTCAGGTTGAAGCTCACCTACGTCATTTTGATGGAAATGGGCTAGGGAGTGATTACATCATCAGCTTGCCCAGAAAAGGCAGCTACCCCCACATGGGATAAAGACAAGTACGAGGGGGCAAGAGGCACATAAGTGTGCACCTGATCACAAGAGGACACATATTTATCATGTTAAAAATGTAACGCTATTAGCAAAATCTCTGTGATTCAAATAAATAATGTGTTTAAGCTGAATACAACACCCACAGGTTGTCCAGCTAAACTCCTCACATCCCTCCCAGTACTTGGAGTAGAATTTTAAGACTGAAGAGCAAGTACTTTATATTAAAAGTACTTTGAAGACTTAAAATAGAAGTCTTTATTTTAGAATAATTATTTACTAATGCTGATTTTTTCCATGTTGACCAAGGGATCTAAGTACTAAACCCTACTAACTGAAAAAGAAACTCTGCCATCCAGCTGTGAAAGGTTTTTGGGGTGAAAAGGAGAAGTAACACATTTCTGCAGGGAAGAAAGTGAATTCCATTAAATTAAACAACATGTTTCATTTCAGTAAGTTCTGAAACGTCATTCAGAATGCTACAGGAAACAAGGTTCAAGTATGAAAAAAAAAAAAATCAAACACATGGAAAATTTCTTCACTCTGAAGGTAAAACTTGGAGATGATTGTCAAATTGACTGTTCCCCACCCCAAGCAGTTTTCACAAACTGGTATTTGCAATTAAAAAAACCCCAAACCATATTTCAGCAAAAGATTTCTGATCTGCTCTTGCCATTACCTACTGATGTCAGTCCAAACACACCCCTGTTTTCTTTACTCAATGACTGATTGATTCATCTTTCAATAGCCAGCTTACTTTTAAATTTGCTGTGGTCCACTGTATCCTGGGTCTCTTCTATCAGTATCTTTGCTGCGATGTCCAGAGTGACTATCTTGGTCTTGGAGACAAGGAACAGCATGACAAACTTTTGGCTCATAATCCGCAATGACTTGTCCTTTCTGCTGTTTGCAGATGCTGTGTTACAAATAATACCCAAGCCTCTTAGCATATGTCATCCATCACAGCCAGAAATCTAGCAAGTACATTTCTCACACACAAAAGGGGTAAAGTATTTCCTTGTTGGGAAGCAGAAATCTTTTGAAAGGCAGCAAATAACTGAGTAATGCAGACAGAAGCCTCTCTTCAAAAGGCAATAAATATTAAAGCTTGCAGAAATAGATTTTAGAAAGACGGATTCCAAAGCCAATTCTATGTTACGTTATACAGTTTTGTACCACTGTAATTTTGTGACTCCAATGGACTGTGTAACTTATAACACTATGTATTAAATGGGCAGCATGCAAACAGTGGACAAATGAAAGATGGCACCTTCTGTCAAGATAAAGCATTTACAGTCGTGTACAGGGA